AAAGAAATGTACAAGAATATACTAAGACCTAATATAATACACCATGCATGTAGTTGGCTGTAGTCTCATGGTTGGTATATTAATACATATATATCATATATTGAAATATATGAGGTTCTAAAGCTTAAAATGTTTTTAAAAAAACCATGACACATGCATTTGACTGAAACAACTTAAGATATTTCTCATATTTGTGAGTTCATAATAGTAGATCTAGTTAAATTTCTAAATCTTCTCATTGAAAATTTCAAAATTAAGTTGCCAGACTATATTATGATTGATTCCATGAATTTTGTTTGCCAGGTCGCGGAATGAATGCCGCTTTTGCCATAGGAAGACTGTGTGATATAGAGGCGGGGAGGAAGAGATTGTTACAGCTGACGGAGTCGGAGAGAATGGTGAGTAGAAGTCAGCCAACTTACACACGACAAAGGTCCCCTATACACTGAGTTTGGTTATACTTACTGTTGGATGTAGTAAAACATAGGTCATTAAGCCTATGTAATATTGCAGTTTTTACCATCATGTATACCGTTAAATGTTAAGTATTTGATACATTATGAAATATTTGATGGTATGGACTGGTGTATACTATAATAGGTCTTTCAGTTACCCAGAAAATTTCATCTCAAACAGAATAATCTTAAAGTCTATATCTGTTCCTCGATCCTCGCACTGCAAACATTTGCCTTGGAAAATTGAATATATTTGGGCTAGAATACGTCCAGAACAGGTCTAAAGGGGATCACCAAACCTCTTTTATAAATGAGAAACTCAAGCACCAAGTAAATCTGTCTCAAGTGAAAATTGCAATTACTACTATATACAATATGATAGTGTCTCATTATGATACCTGTCTGTTGCTACAGCTCTCAGCGTTAGCAAAAATGTTGAGTTGTGATGACACAGGATCCAGTAAAAATGCCTGTTTTGCCCTGAGTTGCCTAGCGACCAATGTAGAAGGTCACACACGCCTACTCAATAATCTTCACTCTGATGACATTCTGCGAACACTAGCCAACCTTCTCACTGCTGAGGACACAGAAACAGGCTGGTTTGCTGCCATGTAAGATTTCTAGATTAATTTTGTTATACTTTTTAATTTAATTTTTAAATTGATTAACTTTTGGAGGTCATAGGTCAAGGACAAAAATAATTATTTATCCATGTCTGAACCCATATATCAGGAATGTAAATTTGCTTATTGACGACTGTTAACCATTCATTTGCATATACCCCTTTCTTTGAAAGAAGGAAAGAAAATACTGCCACAAGAAAATTAGATTGTGCCACAAAAATGATTTCATATTCAGAAACCAAAAGCACATACCTTCATTTGGGAAATTTTCTGATGAGAAATCAAGTAATACTGTATATAATACAATGATGTACAATGTACTTGATTTTGGATGTGGCCCTCAATATTTAATATTGGTGATTGTAAGGACCCTGAGAACCCTGGCCAGTCAGCCCCGTGGATGTCTGAGACTGAGGGACCATAGTCAAGTCATCCCTGCCCTCAAGGTAAGCACTGTAGTGAAGCATGTATATTGTGGAATAGCAAAGATTCAGTAAATCTTTATATATTAGCATCAGTTTGCTCATTTGAGATTTAGGTGGTTTATTACTGTGCTAACAATAAATAATTTAAGGATACATATGTGCTACCTTACTTAGACATTTATCTCAAAAGAGTGTGACATTATAAAATATATTTCAATTGGGCAGCAGTTTAAAGTTGATTAATCATGTCACATTTGGAAGAGATACACAGATGTACTGATAACAATCGTGGCATTGCCGCCATATATGCTGTATTTAGCATGTCCTTAGGTGTAGTAAGGAGCTTTTCATGTGCAATGTCTTCAGCCCAGTTTGTCTGAATTACTATTTTCTTAATCCGGGTGTATTTTTAGTCTGTGGTGAGTCGTGACAATGCCAACACAGATCTGAAGGAAGAATCAAGCATCACATTAGAAATCCTCAAGAAATTATCCAAACCAAACCCACCTCAACTACAAAGTAAGGTCACAAACTTTTATATAACATCTGTTAAAAGTAACCTTCAAAACTCCTGTACATTAATAGATCTGGCAGAGTGCTTTTTCAACAGAGGGCAACAGATCGGTCTGTGAAGGATTTTCATAATAAGTGTTTTTGTCCTGTCCATTCAGTTCCGATAACTCAGGTAGAATATAAAATGGTGGATGCTACAGTGTCAGTGCTGTATTGTTCAAGTAAGACGGCACTAAAAATACGATCGAAAACACAGTCTCACATAATGCTTATATGTCTCCATTACACACAGACATGCACAGATGTGGAGGCATTTAGCAAGGTGGCATAGGCTTATTTCCTTATAAAGCAGCTCATGTGAGATCCTTATAGTTTATTGCTTGCGCAAATTTTATACTTTTGTATGGTAAAGTGACTTAGAGTGGTTTATTCAAACAAGATTTGGCAATACTGTAAACTGGGTTAACTTTTGTAAGGCCAAAAAAAATCAATTACTTGGTTCTCAGGCCAATTTTTGTAAAGAGAGATGAGGCAGGGAATTAATTTTTTTGGTTCGTCTTACATGACAAACTATGAGACGAGGGCGATTTTTTTTTTATTGTGTAGTTTGTAAAACG